AATCCCCTCCCATCAGGATCAGGCTGCCCAGGGCATTCCCAATCCTTGGAAATGTCCCCAAATCCTTTGGATGTGGCCCTTGGGGACACGGTCAGTGGCACATCCAGCTGGACTGGCTGATCCCAAACCTCTTCCAAATTCCACGATTTTACCCAGGATCCAAACCCAACATCCTGGGAGCACTCCAGGATTTGGGATGAATTCCTGCCTGGAATCTGGGAATTCCAGGGGACAGGGATTGTCCCCAAGCCAGGGCCACCCAAACCCCCTCCGGCCACTGTCCTGGGAAGGCGTTGGCACCTCGGAATTCCCGGATGATCCGAGGCAGAAGAATCCTTGGCTTCCCCCACGGAAAGCAGCTGTTCCCATCCATATGGAAGCTCCGGAGCTGCTCATCCCGCTTTTCTGGCTCTTTTCCAGGTGGCCATCATTGCAGGGAATTTTGAGCTGGCGGAAATCATCAAAACCCACAAAGAGTCCGATGTTGGTGAGTTGGATTTTTCCTGGTTTTCCCGTTTTTTGGTTTTGTTTATTTTTTTTTTTTTCTTTCCTGTGGATCCCAGGGATGGACTGGTGGGGGGGGGATTAATGGATTTTCCTGGTGTTGCATCCATGGATTTTTCCAGTGTTGCATCCATGGAAGCTGCTGCCACTTTGGATCTTGGAAGTGTCTGAGAGATTCCCATGGGATTCAGCCTGCTTTTCCAGCCTGGCTGACATTCCCAAGCTCTGGAATTATCCTGGATTTTCTCTGCTGTAAAATCCTGATTTTTTCCCTCTCTTTTTGCATCCCCGAGGGATTTCATTCCCAGCATCCTGGGATTTGGGGCAAGGAGGGAAAATCCTCTGGGAATAGGAGCACAGTGGGTGTTGTTCTGGTTGGATTTGCTTTTTTAAGGAATATTTTGGGAATTTTAGTCCTTTGGGTCATCTTTCCCATCCTTCCCATGTCCCTGTGGGAGAAATTCCGTGGAAAAGTGGGTTTGGATCAGGAATAAAATCCACACTTGTTGCATTTCCATGAATTATCCTGAGGAATTTACGGATCCAGAGCTGCCAATGGAGGGAGCAGTGGGAATTCCCAGCACAGAGGAACGGAGTCATGGGATCAGCAGCCGGGAAAAAAATTCAGGGAAAAATTCCTGCCTGGGAGGGACAGGCACAGAATTCCCAGAAAATTCCCTGTGGCCGCCCCTGGGTCCCTGGAATGTCCGGGGTTGGAGCAGCCTGGGATTGTGGGAAGGGGTGGGATTGGATGGGATTTAAGGTCCTTTCCCACCCAAATTCCTGGAATTCCATGAAAACACTGAAATGAAGGAAAACAGGGATCATTTATTCCGGAATTCGCAGCAGGAATTGAGCTTGGCTCAATCCCAAAAATCTTTTCCCCCAATTTATTTTTTTTTTTCCTCAGCTCCGTGTTCCTGATAGCCAGAACTGGGAATTGGGGGTGGGATAGAAAAGCCGGGAAGGATTTTGGGAAGAGCCTGAGAATTCCTTTGCCAGCAAGGTCATGGAATTAATCCAAGAAAAAAGTTTGGGAACAAATGACCTCCAAAGGTCCGACCTAAATTCCCCTTGGGATCTGCACCTGGGATTGAGCATCTCCGTGATTTTCCTTGGAGAAAAAAAAAAAAAAAAAAAGCAGGAAAAGCAGCACGGAAAGCTGTCAGGAGCAATGGAAAGTCTGGGAATCATCTCCGGATAAAAAATAGGTCAGGGAAGAATTCCAAACTAATTCCAACCTGAGCAGCAGGTCCAGATGGTCAC